ATACTGGTTTGTACTGGTCAGCACTGGTCAGCAGTGGCCGTACCTGGGCGGGCGTTGGGATCCACCTCGGGCTCGGTGCCGCCGGAGCAGAGAAAGCGCGGAGTGACCACAGCGTCCAGCGAGGCAGCGTGGGAATTGGCCGGAGCGCGGAGAGCGTCGGCTTCACACTGCGGCCGCTGTGGACAGACGGACAGATGGACATTGAATGGACACACGGACAGATGGACACTCAGATGGACACTGTCCCTCACCTGCTCCCCCAGTTTGAGCAGCAGGATGGACACACGGACACTCAGGACAGTCACAGGGGATGGACAGATGGACACTCAGGATGGACACACGGACAGATGGACACTCAGATGGACACAGGGATGGACAGATGGACAGATGGACACTCAGGATGGACACACAGACAGATGGACACTCAGGATGGACATTTGGACACCTCACCTGCTCCCCCAGTTTGAGCAGCAGGATGGACGCACAGACAGACACATGGACAGATGGACAGATGGACACTCAGATGGACACAGGGATGGACAGATGGACAGATGGACACACAGATGGACAGATGGACACTGAGTGGACAGACAGTTCCTCACCTGCTCCCCCAGTTTGAGCAGCAGGATGGACACACGGACACACGGACAGATGGACACAGGGATGGACAGACAGATGGACACTGTCCCTCACCTGTTCCCCCAGTTTGAGCAGCAGGATGGACACACGGACACTCAGGACAGTCACAGGGGATGGACAGATGGACACTCAGGATGGACAGACAGACAGACAGTTCCTCACCTGCTCCCCCAGTTTGAGCAGCAGGATGGACACACAGACACTCAGGACAGTTACACAGATGGACAGATGGACAGATGGACAGATGGACAGATGGACACTGTTCCTCACCTGTTCCCCCAGTTTGAGCAGCAGGGTGGACACACAGACAGACACACGGACAGATGGACAGATGGACATTTGGACACCTCACCTGCTCCCCCAGTTTGAGCAGCACCCGCTGCCGCTCCAGCCCGGCCTCTCCTCGGGGGGACACAAAAAACGCGGGGACATTGCGGGGGGGCAGCAGCAGCCGGCCTGGGGAGTGACCAATGGGCAGCGGGGTCATCCCGGGGTCACTGGGGTCATCCCGGGGTCACTGGGGTCACTAAAGGGTCAGGGGTCACAGGGGTCATTGGGAACATTGCGGGGGGGCAGCAACAGCCAGCCTGGGGAGTGACCAACGGGAGTGACCAACGGGAGTGACCAATGGGAGTGACAATGGGCAGCGGGGTCACCGAGGGGTCAGTGGGGTCATCCAGGGGTCATTGGGGTCATCCCGGGGTCATTGGGGTCATCCCGGGGTCATTGGGGTCATCCAGGGGTCACTGGGGTCACTAAAGGGTCAGGGGTCAGCGAGGGGTCAGTGTGGGGTCATTGGGGACATTGCGGGGGGGCAGCAACAGCTGGCCTGGGGAGTGACCAACGGGAGTGACCAATGGGCAGCGGGGTCACCGAGGGGTCAG